GCTAGCATCGTATCTATCGGACATGTGCTACGTCAGGGAATTGGGTTTTTTTCAAGAGGCTCGTACTTGATGAATGGGTTCATGCACATCTTCGAGGATCATCGTAACTTCTTGCCTCTGTCAGCCCGAGCCTTGAAGGCTTGGGACAGGCAGCAGACTATCCAAGAAGGTGAACCCATACCGTTCCAAACCATGGGTTTGATCATACAGCAGTTGTGCCGCATGGGTGCGATATTTGGAGCGTGTGCGGCAGTGGTTCAACTCGATGGATGGTTACGGGGACAAGATTGGTCCATTCTCAGACGTGGGGATATTTGTTTTGATAATTGCGGCAACGTGGCCCTCACTTTAGGCAGCCGTGCTCGCGGAGAGAAGGTCAAGACAGGTTCGGGACAGGGAGTACATATTGAAATCACCCTCACCAAGGCGATGTTGAAGGAGATGATGAAAGGAGTGAGTTCGGATGAGCAGGTTTTTCCCCTTACTACAGATAAGTGGCGCAGGCAGTGGAGCAGAGCGCTGGAGATTTTGAGCCTTTCCCACCTGGGACCACCGCATGGGATACGCCACGAGGGAGCAGCGCACTATGTAGCTAACAATGGAGATCTGGAGTATGCCAGTCGACGCGGAAGGTGGAACACAGCATCAGCTTTGCAACGATATACTAAAACCCATGTGCTAATTCGACGGCGGGCGGAACTCCAGCAGCAGCAACTTTTAGATGGTGAATCTTTCTGGGCCTCTCCTGGGAAGGCTATGGCTGCTGCTGTACGGTCTTCGCCCGCCGCCATGTCCCCCTTCGCGGTGCGCCTCGCAGAGACCCTCGGGCAGCTGAAGGGGGACTGCGTGGACCTGGGAGTGATCTCCAGCCAGGGGATGAGGGCCGAGGTGGGCCGCCCGTCTTCAGGAGTGAAAGCAGCGACCCGTCGTAAGGGGTCGAGGTAGTTTGCGTTTAATTCGTGCTGGTCTTTGCTGTGCCCTGCTACTATCTCTGGGGATAGTATAGTAAACACCTGAGCCGAGCTTAAAAGGGGGTTTCGACTTAAGTTATATTGTGTAGGTTATGTTTATTCCCCACCCTCCCTCCCTGCCACTCGCGGTGCTAGGGCCTGTGCAGGCCAGCAAGGGGCTTTGGGCCTCTATGGGGAGAAGCCTCAGTGTTTGTGGTTTTCGATGTTCGCCCCTCGTGCGAGGGGCCCTGCAGGTCATGCACCGAGGGCTCTCGGCACACAGGGGCATCAGAGATGCCCTCACTGTTGCTTCTGAAGTACTCTGGGGTCTGACGACCCACACAGTCGTTCTGCTGGAAAATTGTACTCGTGTGCATCTTTGTTATGCTTGTGATCGTTGTGGTCTCCTGTTTTTCTGTAGGCTCCCGCCTGTCAGTCGGACCCCCCCAAGCTCCTGGCTCAGGTGGTTCCCCGTACATCTGGAGATAAATACATGTTTTCTTAAACGCACTTTTATCTAGCTTGTACCCCCCTACCTGGGCCGTCCCCTTTGCTCCCTCTCTCTCTCTCGCGCTTAAGTTTCGGCCCCACCCACCCCCCCTGGTGGGGGGACAAGCCTCAGTGTTTGTGGTTTTTGATGTTCGCCCCTCGTGCGAGGGGCCCTGCAGGTCATGCACCGAGGGCTCTCGGCATTCAGGGGCATCAGAGATGCCCTCACTGTTGCTTCTGAAGTACTTTGGGGTCTGACGACCCACACAGTCGCTCTGCTGGAAAATTGTACTCGTGTGCATCTTTGTTATGATTGTGATCGTTGTGGTCTCCTGTTTTCCTGTAGGCTCCCGCCTGTCCGTCGGACCCCCCCAAGCTCCTGGCTCAGGTGGTTCCCCGTACAGCTGGAGATAAACAGGAATTCCACACATGCCGATCACGGCCATACATCCTCCCAACTTGACCTCCTCAGACCCTTTCGTACTTGATTCCCTCCCTCTCTCCCTCTCTCCCTCCCCCCAATTGCCACTCGCTGAGAGATGGGCCATCTCCCACTGGGATGAGAGATGCCGCGCGAGAGATAGTACAGCCAGGTTCGCCTGAGACATCCTCACAACTCTGGACTCATTGCCCTGGCATGAGGTTGTCGAGCCAATTTCGCCTGAGACATCCTCGCAAATCCCAGCTCACAGAAGCTATGGTCCGGCCAATTCCACCAGACATACTCGCAACTCTGGGCTTACACATGCACTGACCTGCGGCAACCCTGCCAATCTAACCAGAGACATTCTCGCAATTCTGGGCTCTGAGATGCCCTGGCCTGAGGTGGTCCAGACAGTTTCGCGTGAGACGTCCGCACAACTCTGGGCTCGGAGGCGCCCTGGCCTGAGTTGGCCTGGCCGATTTCGCCTGAAACATCCTTGTAAGTATTGGCTCACAAAGCTGTCCATATCCCTGCAAGCGACATCGCAGACAACCGTTTTGCACAACCCCTCCTAAGATGCCGCACAACTTCCCCCACCCCCCGCCCGCACAATCCGCCTTGCACACAGGTTACAGTGCGGATATGTTTCTCACACAGTGATTGCCCTGAGGGGTTCTTACTTCCCTTCTCAAGAATTGGGCCTGTCTGGCGCTACGGCGGATATGTTGCCGACGTCGAAGCCCCGTCGCCGCACGACGCCTGGGCCTGTCTGGCGGCTATGTTGACGCCGTCGCCGCCCCGTCGCCGCCTCGTCGCCGCCTCGTCGCCGCTGCCCGGCAGCGACCCGGGCTCACACCAGGCTGGACACCAGAGCCCCTTACCTGACACCCGCCAGCGCCGACGCGGGTTTCACTCATCCACCTGGCATCCGCAGCCTCTCCTCCAGGAGTCAGCAAGGGGCCAGCGTCGGACCTGACCAGCGCTGCAGCCCCCGACCATTCTGACCCCGACGACATGCCTTTTTCACGCGAACCCGAGGAGGTCCGCATCGCTCCCCCAGGACCCGACTCTGAGGAAGATGATGGATTATCGCGTTGGGAGGAGAAGGGTGGGAAGACACGGGGCACGGCTGTGTAATTCGACAGCTCGACATACGCGGTAATTCGGATGATCCTCTAGTCATTCCTCTCAACCCCTTCCCCCCCAACCCGATAACAACTAATCGGCTTTCTGACTTGGCTGCGGCCCCAGCGAGGGCCCCAAGAGACCGCCGCGAGCCAAGAGCCGGCGGCCGCATGCGTTCCTTTGCCCGCGGCGAGCGGGGGCCCAGGCCCGGGGCTACAGCTCCGCGTGGCCCGCCGCTGCCCCGCCCAGCGGCCGCAGCACGAGCAGCGGCTCGTAGGACCTGCGCCAGGAGGCCTCCGCCGTGAGCCGGCCCTCCTCCCAGCCCAGGCGCTCCAGCACCCGCCAGCCGTCCAGCAGCAGCGGCAGCCGGACCGGCCCATGCGGGGCGGCGCGCGCCAGGGCGGTGGCGCCGGGGAGGGGGGGGCGGGCGCAGGGCCCACGTGCAGACTGGCACCTGCTGGCAAACCAGGCGTGAGCTGGTTTCGCCGGCGCTGGTTTCGCCGGCGCTGGTTTTCGCCGACGCCGACGCCGCCGTCGGCGTCGGCGTCGGGTCGGGCGGGCGGGCGCTAACGGGCGGGTCGGATCGGGCGGGCGGACGCTAGCGGGCGGGTCGGGTCGGGTCCAGCGGGCGGACCCTAGCGGGCGGGTCGGGTCGGGCGGACAACACATGAAAGTGAGGGGCACGCTCGACCGAGCACGAGCGAACCCAAACGGACGCTAGCGGGCGGGTCGGATCGGGCAATTTCCATAAGGGCAGCTGGTTTCGCCGACGGCAACTGGTTTCGCCGACGGCAACTGGTTTCGCCGGCGGCGAAACCAGCACGGCGAAACCAGCCGAGCAAAAACAGCCGGGCGAAATCAGCCGTCGGCGAAACCAGCGGTTGCCGAGGAGCTTCCCAGTCCTGGTTTAGCATTGTGCCCTCATGCCCAGATGGCCTCTTCAAAACCCCCCCCCGACTTTCGAGAAGCGGGGGGGATCTTCTGAGAATCCTCCCCATGCCTTCCCGGCAAGGCCGCCCCCCTCGCGCCACCACCACCCGTTCGCGCCGCCGTCATAGCGTCGGTGCAGGTTCCACACCACCACGTCCGGGCCCACGGGCACGGACAGCAGGAGGACCCCGCGGCCCTGGGGGAGCTCGTCGGCAGCCAGCACGAGGCGAACGAGGACCATGGCGGCGAGGTCGGCGTCTGGCCGCACGGGGTCGCCGTAGCGCCCGAGGCCGTCGTGGTCAAAAGAGCTCAGCGAGACGGCCAGGTCGAACTTGCCCAGACCCGGGAGGTCCGAGGGGTGGGCCTGCGCCAACTGCGGGTGGCTGTAGGTGAGGTTGTTGCTCGGCTGCGCGCAGGACCCTGAGATCCTGGCGATTCCATTCTCGAGCCAGGCGTCTTCGCCCAATGTCGGGCCCTGGGGCCCTCACATATCGATCCGACTCGAACAATGAGTCGGGGAGATGGGTGGGGTCCAGGGTTCTGGCCTTGATTTCAGCTAGATTTGAATTTTTCGAGGCCCCGCATCTCAGGGGGGTGCCCCTGGGCAAGAGTGGCCTCTGGGGCGCGGCTGGCCGAGTGCCGCACGCGATGCGGCAGCAGCGGCCCGCGTGGCTGGGCTCGCCCGCCCCCCCCCCCCCGCAGCGCTTCCCGAGAGCTGAGCACCAACCTTTGGCTCCCAACTTCGCGCTTCGCGTTTCGCGCTGCGCGAAGCGCGAATAACTCCGCGTTCTCGCGCCGCGCCTTTGACCAAAGGGCCACTCCGGCGAAGGGTTGCCATTGCCCAGACATCCCACGTTTTGATATTTCCAATGCTGGGCCCCCAAAGAGTCCCGACCCTTTCCCCAGGGCCGGCCCTTCACGTCGTGAGAGAGTGTCTGACAGTCCCAGGCCCTGGCGAGGACCCCCGGAGGCCACAAGCTGGCAAAACCTCCGTTTTGACCTTGTCAAATCCGATGGATGTCTGGGTACGTGCCCCCCCCCAACCGCGGCCCCCGAGAGTCGCATTTGTTTTTGATCCGCGGGTCGAGAGCGAGCCTCTTCCGGTCGAAGCTAAGCGGGCCGCGCACAACTGTAATTGACAGAGGGGGGAAGGCAGAGGGAGGGGCCTCACGTCAAGGCCAAGAGAGGGCAAAGCCCCGGAATCAGCCGGTGCCGAAGGCGAAGTGCATGCAAAGGAACGCCTTGTACAGGAACCCGGAGGCGAAGTACCGGAAAAGCAAAATGCTGTGGTGGTGGCCCCGAGAGTCGCACACCAAAGGGCCACTTCAGCGAAGGGCCGCCCTGACGCGCAGCCGACGTGTACTCTACCGTCGTGACGTGCGCGGCGCCGTGGGCCAGCAGGATCGCCTCTGGGGAAAACAAAACATACCAATACCGCCACTCCACGGACCTCTCCCGAGGTGCGCTCTGACGAGAACGTCGAGGCGAATCCGGCCGTGGCGATCGAAGGGCCTCCCAGGAGGTCCAAAATGCGGAAACGAGTCGAGGGGTGTGGAGCTATCGTTCTACCACAAGGAGCGCGGAAGAGGGAGCGAAGGGGCATTCCTGGGCCACGGCGAGCCTCGGCCCCCGTCAGGCCCCCCGACCAGGATCTGAGGCACGGCCCGAAGACCAGAGCCCCTCCTGAGCCCAAGGTGGCGTCTGGTAGCTGGAATGAGCGGTGTTGGCAAGGCGTCGCGCTGCACGCAGACAGCCCCTCCAAGTGGTCCCGGCTGGCCTCGACAAGCTCCCCCCAGCAGTCCCAGCTGGGCTCAACAGGCCCCCGGGGTAGTCCGGGGCGGCCTCCAAGACCCCAATCCTGGTGCGCGGAGCGCCCCAGGGGCGCCGCCAGAGGCGGCGCCCGGGTGTTGAGACCGCCCCTGACTACACGAGGAGCCTGTTGAGGCCAGCCGGGACTACCTGGGAGGGCCCTGTTGAGGCCAGCTGAGACCCCTGAGATCCGAAGTCTAGGAAAAATTGGAACATCAAGTAAAATCACCATCACCACCGGAGCCCTGGACCCAAGCTTTCTGCATCATTGTGAGGGTCCCACGGCCCGACATTGGGCGAAGACGCCCGGCTCGAGAAAATAGAGTCGCCAGGATCTCAGGGTCTACATGGGGGGGCTCCCTGCGCGCAACCCGAAGCCTTGCCAAGCGGCGTGCGCTACCTCTTCCACCAAGGCCTCGACGGAGGCGTCGGTGGAGCCGAACACCACGGCGCGCCAGCCCTCGACGGGGCGCGCGGCGAGGGCCTCGAAGAGCAGGGCCCAGCGGTGCGCGCGCGGCCCCGGGCCGCGGGCTCGAAGCGCACCAAACTGCTCGACCAGGCGCTGGATCCCGGGGCGGTCCACCTGGCGGATTCCGGAAAACCCTGAACCCCATAATGCTGTCATCTCTTGGGGGCGCATGTTTAACTTCCGCCGCCTTCCGCCGCCCTTCCGCCGGCTTTCGCCGGCGGAGGCGACCTCATTTTCGACCTTCCGCCGCCCTTCCGCCGCCTTCCGCCGAGGCAACTCCTTCGATCTCGAAGGCAAGGCCCTTTGAGGAACGCCTCACCTGAGAAGGCACGCTAAACATCCGAGGGGTGTGCCGAAATGGGTCGGGCGGACGCATGTGGACCCTGCAACTGGGGCCGTCGGTGGAGGGTCCATATGGGGCCACGAAACGTGTGAGGGGTGTGCCGAAATTGGTCCGGAGGGCGCATGTGGACCCTGCAACTGGGGCCTTCGGTGTAACTCCCTCTGGGGCCACGAAGCGTGTGAGATGTGTCGAAATGGGTCGGGCACATGCATATGGACCCTGCCCCAGGAGCCTTCGGTGGAGCTCCCTGTGGGGCCATGAAACGCTGCACTGGGTGCGCGGAACTGATTGACGCGCGGAGGGCACAGACAGGGATGGGAGGAGGAACGAGGGGGCGGAGGAGTGGAGGAGGAGACACGGGGCACTGTCTCACCACAGAATGGTTGGGAACAACTCGAAGCCGCATTGAGGAGTCAATGAACCGGATCCGGACACATAAAGACCACGATGGGGCCGTTTAACGTGACTCAGCTGGACTCGGCGGGATTGAGCTGGATTGGGCAGGTGTTCGGCCACGGAGATGCCAGCGCCGATGCTGAATTTAACCCCCAGGAGTCTTAAAGAACAAAACGAAATCTGGCAAAATGATATGTATGAACCCTGCTAGGCAAACGCATTGTTCTGCAGGAATGCCGTGCCGCTGCCTGCAACAAGGGCGAAGGAAGACGAGGGAACGAGGAAGAAGAGGAGCGAGGGAACGAGGGAGAAGAGGAACGAGGGAGCGAGGGAACGAGGGAGCAGAGGAGCGAGGGAACGCGGGAGAAGAGGAGTAGTTAACCTCCCAGGAGTTGCGCTCAAATCCACCGAGTAATGCGTCCCCGCGCCGCCGTTCGTGTCGTCCACGTACATCGCGGCGACGGGGACGCGGCCTCCCAGCGTGAAGGCCTCCTGGAGCTCCTGCGGGCAGGGCCGAAGGCTGCGCACCCCGGAAACAACGCCACAACCCTTGGGGAAGCTTTCGGCTCTGGAGCGTCAGCGTCGTCGTCGTCGTCGTCGTTATCGCCGTCGCCGTCGCCGTCGCCGTCGCCGTCGCCGTCGCCGTCGCCGTCGCGGCCGCCGCCGCCGCCGCCGTCGCCGTCGCCGTCGCCGTCGCCGTCGCCGTCGCCGCCGCTGCCGCTGTCGTCGTCGTCGCCGCCGTCGTCGTCGTCATCGCCGTCGTCGTCGTCGTCGTCGTCGTCGTCGTCGCCGTCGCCCCATTCAGGGTCGGCGGCACCGGTTGCAAGGCAGTCTCGCAATCCGTGCCCAGGCACCGGCCAATGGGCTCCTCGCGTGCCTTCAGGAAAGGGAGGCGGCGTGAAGAGCCGCCAGCCCCCGGATGCCGATCGCATTGAAAAATCAAGACGAACATGTTCCGCTTTCAGCATCTGGACTATGTTGCTCCCACCGTACTTAAGGACCACCCCAGAAATCATTTCGAGCACCCAAGGAAGGGGCGAAACAATGTCGAACGAGTGTCGCCTCCCACGGCCCGACACATGAAAACCCTCAAGTTTCGGAACTTTCTTGGTGCTCGGCAGTCTTTCTAGTGAGCAAGACTAGAGTAGGTTGGAACATCATAACCTCTGGACTCTGGAGGCCCTCGCGGGCCCCAGGACCGTAACGAAAAACGGCGCAGGCTGAAGAGCCGGGCCAGCCCCAGGGAGAAGGCCAGGGGACTCCTCGTGGGGCCGCATTGAAGGATCAAGACGTCGGATGTCTGAGTCTTCACTGGTGACCCACGTAAACCACCTCCCTCCCGCGAGGCCCAGGAGCACAGCACTGGGGGTGCCAGTGCACCCTCTCCTCCGACGCCGCAACTGTAGTACGTGGCACGGGCCGCCGCAGCTCTCGGCACCCCTTCTCCTGCAGGGCAGGGGGGAACAACCCACGGGCAAAGGCCGAAAGCACCCGAAGGCCGGCCGCCGCGATTTGGATATGGGGCTCGACTTCGCTATGTTTGTTTGTGTTCGCGTCGCCTGGATCTGGTGGCGGACGGAGGCAGTTCGGGTGCGCACAAGTTGAGGGGGGTCGGGCAGAGAGGAGGGGCAGCATGGCACGAGGCACGTTCGCGCACAAGGGGGTTGGGCCGGGGAAGGTGCTGAAAGAGGAGCAGAGCGCCATCAGATCAAGGAGATGCATCATGACCCTGGCCATCACAACCACCCACCCACCCACCCTTGACTGACATCCGCCCGTTTTTGTTCAATCCGCGGCTCCAGAACTCCCGACCCTTTCCCCCTGGGTGGTTTTTCGCCGCGGATCAGTTTTGGCGGTCGCTGGGCCCGAAAACGGTCCGCGGAGGCCGAAGTCAATGGAAAACCGCTGGGATTGAACAAATCAGATCGTCGGAGATCTGGCTTTGTCGTCATGCCTCAGGTCTCCTGCGGCCGATCGGGACGATCTGGGCACCCCCGATGACGCCCTCGACGAGACGCAGCCGCTGAAGAGCATCCCGAGGCGAGGCTGGAAAACCTCACTGGGAACCGGCGAAGACGCCCGAACACCTCGAACTTCGGGGGGAGCGAGATCTGGGGGAGGGGATCTGGGCGACAGAGGGCGCTGGAGGACCCGAGAAGAGACTGAGACCGTGCAGGCAGCGGGGGGGGGCTCGGGATACCCTCGGGGCCTGCCGAGGCTGGCCGGCCGGTGCTGGGCTCGGGAGCGGGCGCGGGAGGAGGACGCCAATTATACATGACTGCACCTGCGCCGGCCCCGGCCAGGGCCGACCAAGGACCCAGAGTCGGTGCGAATGCGTCCTCCTGCCTCGCTCCAGGAGGGCGTTTACACCGATCCTGTGCACAGGATAAGCCTGGCCAGGATCTCGGGTGTATGCCTAGTTGGTACCCTCCTACATAGACCCCCGAGGGTCTCCGCGGAGGCCCTCCAGAGGCCTTCATGGAAGTCCCCAGTCGGAGAGCACTGGAAGCCTCTGGAAGCCGAAAAGCCTCGGCCATCCAGCGAGTACGGTCGGGAACTGCTGGCTTGCGTGCCACCACGGGGAAGTACACGCCTGGGGACTGGGAAGAGGGTAGCCTATCGCGCCGACGCGGGGTGGGCCAGAGCTGGCAGAGCCACACGCTCTATGCCAAGTTCCCGACCGTACAGTGGAGGCCCGACCACCAGAAACCTTCCACAAGAAGCCCAACCCTGGAACCCCAGGACGCCCATTGATTTCTGGCGTGGGAACGTCACGCGCTCCATTGCAAAACCATTGAAACCCAAGAAACCTAGGGCACCCTGAAGGCAAACAGGGTGTTTCTTGGCATGGGCCTCCACTGTAATGTTCCGCCAGCTCCTGCGGCATCTCGTGCGGCGGCATGCCCGCCCTGCAGCGGCATGAAGGGAAAGGGTCTCGAGGGAAGCGGCTCCTGGACCCTGGTGCTTTCCCTGTAGGGACAAACTCTTCATCCCGAGACGTTATGTTAGCGGCCGCGGGGCCTGTGGAGGGCCCCAAGAGACCGAGCACGGCAACAACAACAAAAACTGCAAGAACCGGTTCCATCGGCCCCCTTTCCTTCAAGGAAGAGAAATGTTAGCACTGCTCGGGTTCGAAAGCGAGCCGAAGGCTTTCGCCCCGCCCGAGCCTCGGCTTCAATACTGAGAGAAAACTCACGCACGCCTTGGGGCGACAGAACTAAAATATGACGCGCCTCTCCAACGCGCGCGATCGTTTCCAATGTTGAGGTCGGGGGCGAGGGGGAGGCATTAGATTCCCTAAGTTTGTCCTGGCGCCCAAATGAGCGACGGTCGGATGCGGCCCTTACGCGAGTCCACACAGCAACCTTACGCCGCGGCCTAGGCGTGATGCCAGCGCGGCACGCTGCACTGGAAGCGAGGGCGCTGACGCGCGGGCAGCTCACGCGCGAATGTCGGTGCCGACGACTCCGTGTTGCTGCGTCGCTCTTGTGGTGCGAACATCCGAGCAATGCCACCTGGGGGCGGGTCACCACTAGACGGAGACGCCAACTCCTCCAGGAAACGGACCCCCTTGGAACCCCAAGAGGCCCTCAAGCACGACTAAAGACGCCCGAAAGCGACCAAAGCCTCCTCGATACTCGGTCCTCCAATTCCTCCTGTTCATCCTCCAGCTCCTCCTCCAGCTCCTCCTCCTCCTCCTCCTCCTCCTCGTCCTCCTCCTCCTCCTCCTCCTCCTCCAGCTCCTCCTCCAGCTCCTCCTCCTCCTCCTCCTTCTCCTCCTCCTCCTCCAGCTCCTCCTCCTCCTCTTCTCACTCCTCCTCCTCCTCCTCCTCCTCTTCCTCCTCCTCCTCCCCCTCCTCCTCCTCCTCCTCCTCCGCCGGATCCTCGATCCTCGCCTTGACCCTCGAATTCCAAGAGCCCGCGGCTCAGAAGGCCTTCCGAGAAGCTTTCTGAGCCCTCTCCGCAGCGACGGAGGGCATCCCAGAAGGCCAGAAAGCTCTGGAGAAGCTCCGCCACCTTCTGAGAAGGAAAGGCCTCCACCTCTCGCTTCCCCTCTCGGCCTCGCCGCGTGACTTTTTCAATTCACGGCCCCAAAAGTCCCGACCCCTTCCCCAGAAGTAGTTTCGTCCTGGATAAATTTCTGATTATCCGGGGGCCTGTGAACCGCCCTCCGAGCGCCGAAATCGAGAAAGAAGCACTGGCTAAAAGAACACACCGTCGGTGGCGACTCCACCTTGGCAGTTCCCAACAGCCAAATGTCATCCAAAAACGACAGCGGCCGCTGTTGGGCAGGCGACCGTCTGTCTCAGAAGGAAAACCACGTCCGCGGCGACACCGACAACGAGTCTTGCTCAGAACAAGAACTGCCGTTGGCCTTCGAAACCCTTCCCATGCTGCTGGCGACCCCCCTTGGCACAACACATGACACATCCCCTTAGATCTGACGCCGCACGGAAAACGCAGCATCGCGAGAAACATCAAGACCGGAGCCCTAGACCCCCCCCCATATTCCTGCTGCACTCTTCGAGCCGAACCGATCCCTGCCTGAAACCAAGCAAAAGAAATCCCCCGTGCAACGCCCGGATCTCAGGCCAACCAAACCAACCAACCAATCAACCCTTCCCAACATCGACCCCCAAAGGTCTCCACCAATTTCCAGAGACCGGTCTTTCATCCCGAGTGTTGTCTGAAGGTCTCGGGGCCCGGCGAGGGCCCCAAGAGGTCGAACATCGCAACAACATTGTCCGCCAATATGTTTTGACGACGCGAGGGGGCCCTGAGATCTGACGTCTCGAAGAAATTGGAACATCATGAAAAATCACGACCGGAACCCTAGACCACATCGTTCTGTGCCATTTTTCGAGCCGCATCTACCTGTGATGGTCCCAGGGCCCAAGACACAAGGAAAACGCCCGTTGTCCATGAGCATCAGAAGTACCCCGCACCCTTTAGGAGGGGACTGGGGGCCGAAAACATCAGCGATCAGGAGTAGTCCTTGTCTGTGGATGTACCAAGCGAAACCACCCATCTGGTCAGGGATTTCCCTGAAAGGGACCTGAGTTAGCTCACGAATTCATTGTGATTGTGTTTTATCCTAGGGCAACAATCATCGCGCTCCGCGCTCCGCGGAGCGTGATTATCTTCGCGCTTTCGCGCCGCCACCCTGGAGCGGGATGAGGGACTCGCGCCTCGCTCTGACTGAAGCCGCCCAGACAGCAGAGTGCGACTAACTTCGCACCCTCGTGGTGGCCGGGGATGCAGCGGCGCCGCTGCCCAGTCCCGACGACAACAACGACGACGACGACGACGTCGACGTCGACATCAGCGGGGTTCTTGGCACCGCGGCGGCCTCCACCACGCGGGCGCCTCCCCGCCGAGCGCCCCCCGCACGCCCAGCGCAGCGGCCGCGCCCAGCACGGCCCTCCGGGGGGCCCGCTGGCGCCATGGCGCCGGCGGGGCTGGGCGCTCCCTCGACGAGGCGGGCGCCATGCCATTTGCGGGCGGCAGTCTGGAGCAGGGACGGAGCGCCCCGGCATTCCCAGCAGGCCTACCACGACGTGCTCTCGGAACCAAAGAGCGGCCCAAGAACAGAACAGCGCCCTGAGAACATGAAGACGACGGATGAGGAACAAGGCGGTCTCAGCCAGAAGTGCTGTGAGACCATGCCGCGGAGACCACAGGAGGTTCTCAGAACATCCCTTGGGGGGCCCACAGACAAGCCCGGACGCCTCGGCACTGCTCACAGGTCGGGCCGTGGCGCCCAGGCGGAGGGCCCCAGACCCCCTGGGGCTTTGGAGGCTGCCTGCCCGCATTGGTGCCAAGGGCGGCGTCAGCGACGGGCCTCCGTCGGCCAGGACCCCCCCCCCAGGCGCGCCGGCGGCCAGGCGGCGCCCGGCGCCTCGTCGCCGTCGTCGCCGCCGTCACGACGGAAGGCTGTGCCGCTGTTTCCGGACCCTGGGGCGGCTGCCCAGCCCCAGGCGAAGGGCCCCAGACGCACTCGAGCCATGAAACAAAACGCAGCGGGTGGTGTTTTGGCGGCGCGCGGGGGGAGGGGGAGGGGGGGAGGCTTCTCAGAAGGAGGCGAGTTACTGCTTAGCAGGCGCGGACCTCACATCTATAGACAAAGCCCGCGCCTTCTAAGAAGCAGAAGTGTTTCCGAGAAGCCTTCCCCCCCCCTTCCCCCTACCCGCCTTCTGCGCATGGCTGAGACCCCTCGAAATATGTAAAAAAACGCGACGGGGAGGTGTTCCGCTGTTTCGGCCTCTGGGCGCGGTTACCGAGCCTCGGAGCCATCCAGAAGTGACTCGGGTCGAGCCCTCTCGAGGTCAGCGTTATGAGAAAATCATTACGTCGGGGGTCTGGGGCGGGGGTCAGACCCCCTTCCCTGAGATCCGCGCGTCGCGCTTTTTGTTCTCAACGGACGTTTTCGCCTGGCTCACGGATCGATCCGGCTCGAAAGATGGCGCAGAAAGACGGGGTCTGGAGCTCCGGTCGTGATTTTGCATGGTGTCGCATCTTTTTTCGCAACGTCAGATCGGATCTCAGGGTTCGCGTCGTGAGAACATGTCGCGGCGACAAACGGTCTCGGCACAATTTCCCGCTCCCGGCGGCCCTCGCAAGGCCGTCAACAAGCCACTCAACGGAAAGCTGGTTCCTGAGAAGTGGTCCAGACGTCTGGAGGTCCACGTCGTGGGAAGATCATGACGTCGGGGGTCTGAAGGGGCGGCCCCGGCGGCCCCAGGTGCCCCCCCACGAGGTGCAAAGCGCGCCCTGGGCTGGACCGGCTGCAGACAAGCCTCGTTCCTTGGCCGGCTCTTTTCAACCTGGCCCGTTCTGTTGACGGCCCCAGGGCTGGGAAGCAGCCTCGGCCAGAAGCAGGACAGAGGGCGCTCCGAGGCGAGGGCGATACTTCGGCGATTCGCGCGGGATGTGCGCCACGTCCCATCCATGCGACGCATAGTGCAACATATGCGACCGAATGCCCATGTTGCACTGAAAAAGAACATGGTGGTGTGTTCTTTGTTGACCGGTGGGATGGGACCCCCAGGATGAGGTTGCTATCGGCCAGCTAGGTTGCAGAGTGGGAGCATATACGAATAAGGAACAAGGATCGAGAGGAGTAAAGTGGAGCAGAGTGGAGTACAAGAGAGTAGGGTCGATGCTAGAGTGGAGTCAGGTAGAATAGAGTAGTTCAGAAGAGGGTAGAGCGGAGAAGAGTAGAGTGGGGTAGGGTAGCGCACAGTACCGTAGAGTGAGTAGAGTAGAGCAGAGCAGAGTAAGGTAGAGCATCATCATCGCATGACCACCATCATCATCACAACCACCACCGCCATCATCATAAGTATCATCATCATCATCATCATCATCATCATCATCATCATCATCCTCATCATCATCATCATCGTCATCATCATCATCATCATCAGCATAACCATCATCATCAGCACAATCAGCATCATCAGCATCATCATCATCGTCGTCACCATCACCATCACCATCACCATCACCATCATCATCCTCATCCTCATCATCAGCATCAGCATCAGCATCAGCATCAGCATCAGCATCAGCATCATCATCATCATCATCATCATCATCATCATCATCATCATCATCATCATCATCACCGACAACATCAACAGCAGCATCCCATCCACTCTGGCCCACTCTAAGCCAGTCCGCTCCAGCCCACTCCAGCCGGTCCGCATCATCCCAGACGAGAGGGGGCAGAGGGGGAGAAGAGCCCGAGCGCCGCCCCTCTGTCCGAGATCCTCGGGCCGGGGATCGGCACGGCGCTGCTCGGCGCAGGCGCAGTTGGCCGGCGCCCCCGAGATCTCACGTCATACACTGGAAAGAGCGCATTTCTTTATCGTCGGCGATGACGGGCGTCATAGGGGGGGGGGCGGAGGGGGTATGACGTACCGCCCCCCCCCACCCTGCCGTGCGGCTCCGGCACCACAGCCGCGCCCGCGCGCACGACGACGATGAGCGACGAGCGACGAGCGACGAGCGACGAGCGACGATGACGACGACGACGCGAGCAGCATGTATATAGGTCCTTGTAGGTTGCGATCTGCCCCACAGCGCTACACCAAAGCGCCTGCGAACACCGCAACAGCCGTGTGCAACGCCGTGCCTGTGTACACAACAGTGCTTGCGTGCACCACAGCGCCGGTGTACACCACAGCGAATTTGCACACCGCAGCAGCCATGTGCAACACAGCGCCTGTCTACATCACAATGCTTACGTGCACCGCAGCGCCTGTGCACACCACAGCGCCTGTCTACACCATAGCATCCGCGTACAACGCAGCGTTCCAGAGCGCCTGCGTGCACAGGACAAGTAGAAGGAGCATGTCGGGGAGGATCTGCTGCGGACAGCTAAACGCCACGCCAGGGAAGTGCTGAGAATAGAATGCGACGTCTTTCCCTCCTCCCTCCTCCACCTCCGCCTCCTCCTCCTCCTCCTCGTCCTCCTCCTCCTCGTCCTCTTCCTCCTCCCTCACCCTTTCCCCCTGTCGTGCAGGTCGGGACTACAGCGCACGTGCGCGTCTCAGCGTGCACCGCAGAACGGTCTACTCACTGGTGCACTGCTGATTGCACCCAGGCATTTTGGTGTACACTGGTGCTGTGTTGCACACGGCTGATGTGGTGTACGCAAGCGCTGTGGTGTACACAAGCGCTGCGGTGCCAGCAGGCACTGTGGCACACACTGGCGCTGTGATGCACGCGGCTGCGGTGCACATAGGCGGGGTGGTGTACACAGGCGCTGTGGTGCACGCAGGCGCTATGGTGTACACAGGCGTTGTGGTACAGATCGCCACCGACATGCTGCTGCTACCCGTCCTCGGTGATTCCTAGGCAGTCCCAGACGCCACCGGCGCGAAACGTGACGTTATCGGCCCCCTCCACCCCCCCCAGATGATTGCCGTTATTGGCCCGGATTTATATACATATATATGGAACACAAAAAAGAGGCTCCAGCCGCGCCCGCGCGCACGACGACGATGAAGGACGAGCGACGAGCGACGAGCGACGACGACGAAGACGACGACGATGACGACTGCGGACCAGAGACCTACGCGGATTCCTATGCGGACACCTATGCGGATCACGATGCGCACGGCGGCAGGTGCCCAGAACGCACTGGGGGGGGGGGGGGAGCGTTACGTCATGGGGGGGGGGGGCGCCGGGGGCCATGACGCCCGTCATGCCCCAAGAAATCCGTCGCCCCCTGTTGATTCATCACAAGGGTGCCTGGCGTGCTGGACTTCTTACGGTTTTAATTTTGGTTCTTTTTCCAAAAGAACTCCCCCTGGCGCTTCGGCCCGTCCCGCCGGGGTCCTGGGAGAAGGGAGCTCCAGGCGCGCAAACGACCTCAACGTCCACAAAAAATTCTCCAAGACGGCCCAAGATGGCCTCCAAGATGGCCACGTTGGCCCAAGATGGCCTCCAAGATGGTCCAAGATGGCCTCCAAGTCCGCCCAAGATGGTCCAAGACGGCCTCCAAGACGACCCAAGAGAGTCCAAGACGGCCCAAGACGGCCCAAATGGCCCCCCAGAGGCCTCCAAGACGGCCCAAGAGGCCTCCAAGAGGCCTCCAAGAGGTCCTCCAGGAAGGCCCGAAGAGGCCAAAATCAGTAATGTTCCGTAGGTGTTTGGCATTCGCGTCTTCTCGGCTTTCCGACGATCCAAGACGGCCCAAGAGGCCCCCAAGATCGCCCCCACAGCGCCAAAGAGGCCTCCAAGACGGCCTCAGGACTACCCAAGAGGCTCCAAAGACGGCCCCAAGAGGGCACAACGACGATCCAAGAGGACTCCAAGACGCTCAAGATGGCCTCCAAGAGGGCCCAAAGTCGGCCCACAAAGGCCCCACAAACGGCTTCCGACGGCGTCAGACGGGCCAGGAGCCCACCAAGATGGCTGAAGTTGGCTCGAAGCTGGCCCAAGACGGCCCAAGACGGCCCAAGAGGCCTCCAAGAGGGCCTCCAGGAAGGCCAGAAAAGGCCAAAAACACGAATTTGCAGTTGGTTTTCGAAGGAGTCTGACATTTGCTTCGTTTCGGCCTTCCCACGGCCCGATACGGCCCAAGAGCCCCCAAAGATCGCCCAAGAGGCCCCCAAAATGGCCTCAGGACTGCCCAAGAGGCCCCCAAGACGGCCCCAAGAGGGCACAAAGACGGCCCAGGAGGCTTTTAAGACGCCCAAGATGGCCTCCAAGACTGCCCTGGAGCATTCCAAGAGGGCCCCACGGCACAGAGAGGCCCCCCAAACGGCTTCCGACGGCGTCGGACCGGCCAGGGGCCCACCAAGACGGTCGAAGATGGCACTAAGATGGCCCAAGACGGCCCAAGAGGCCTCCAAGAGGGCCTCCAGGAAGGCCCGAAAAGGCCAAAGTCGTTGATTTCCCATGAGTTTCTCAAGGATTGTGGCATTTGCTTTTTATCGGCCTTCCGACGGCCCGAGACAGCCCAAGTGCCCCCAAAGATCGCCCAAGAGGCCCCCAAGACGGCCCAAGAGGCCTCCAAGACGCTAAAGATGGCCTCCAAGACGGCACAAGAGCCCTCCAAGACGTCCTCCAAGAAGGCCCGAAAGGGTCAAAATGGCCTCCAGGCGGCCAAG